GTAAGTACGTTTAGAGTAGATAGGTATCTTATCAGACTGGCAACAGAATTATCAGTATGGTAGATTAAATTCAATATAAGTACAGTTAATTCCATCTGCTGTACTGATGATTATACTGCTTTCAAACAACATCCTTCATTTGTTCAAACTTTTGTGCAGCTTTCTGTTTACCAAATTGAATCATCTCAAACATTTAAGTAAACTATTTTTGTATTTTATAGGTTACTAATTATCTATATATACTTTTTTTTATTATAACCTTGTAGTAAATTCATTTTCTTTCCATATTGTAGTTTGATTTGTAAATAAAGTAGATGTAATGACCAAAAACTCTTGAACTTGCATGTCCACAAATCCAGTTTTTCAAAAATGTGCATCTGTAGCCTCTAAATACTAGTTGATTTCAGAAAATTATGTATATAAATGTTAAAGGAAAGGTAATATGAGGGTAATCATACCATTTTTTCAAAGATATAGAAGCAGAAAAAAAAAACATTTGTAGGCCTAAGCGAAATGCAAGTGCTATCATGCATAATTCTAATCTTCCGAAAGCAGTGCAGGTTTTTTTCAAGCAAACTGCTAATATCATTATAGTAAGGGGTTCTTTGGAAATCTACAAAACATTCTGCTTATTATGATTGGTGTCATTTATCCACTGAAAAATGCTTGGAAAATTTTAATTTATTTTTCCAGTGCATAAGTACAGGTTTTGAAGAGAAACTTTAAGAAAACGAACAGAGAAAATACTCCTAAAACCTTACCTTGAGTAGCAGAAAACTCCAGAAAGAGCAGTCAAAAAACAAAAAGTTAACAAGTATTATATGCTTACTGTAGTGGTTGCGTTATGTAAATATATATATATATATATATATCATGTGCAAGTCATAAGTGATTATTTTTTGGCAGTCTGAAACATTTTCAAAAAACCTCATTTTCTATTTTTCTGTTAATTCAGTAATAAACACAACATTGAATATTTGTAAAAATATTTAACATGTTTAGCAAGCACTTCTTCCAACATTAATTAGCTGAAGTAGGTGAAACAAGTCCTCTAACAAAATAATAAGAAAGTCCATTTATGCAAATTTTATTAAGCCAATGATTTATGATTTTTACAACAGTTAAGCATACCAGTTCCACTGCTTGAGAAAAACAAACAAACATAGATTCTACTTTTTTTTTAATTTAAAATTTGTGAAATGTGGAAATGTTGAGTGTACTTGTAATTAAAATTACTTTTTTCAAGATATTTACTTTTTTTCTGCACAGAAAACCATTTTTCAAATGCAATTTTATAATTTTTTTTCCTTCTGAATTTTAGCGGTTTCTTAGCATCAACAAAATTTCATAAGTTCCAAATATATCTGTTGGTTTTACAGCAAAGGTACTAAAGGCTATCTGCTACCATCCCCAATTTTGAAATGCAAACCACAGGGAAAGCAACTGACAAGCAGAAATCACCAGCAACCCTTCGGCTGCCCCACATCAACAAAAAGTTGGTATGATCATCACACAAAAATGTACCCATGGCTGAAAAATTGGGCATATTCAGGTTTATATCAAATTTTACATTGACCTACATTACTTTTTCCATAAAAAAAAACCCTATAAACCTAAAAATTCAAGACCAAAATCACTAATCATTATACAACCATGCCTTTTATGATTCAATGAATATTTTAAATAACATCAGTTTCAACAAAAATTTGTAAGCCTCCTGTATATTTCCATTTCTATATTTTGCACACCTCGCCCCCCCCCTTTTTTTTTACATGTAAGCAACCCATCATAATGAGTTCATTTCATATTTTTTAATCCAATTTCATTGGAAATTATGTGCTCAACTAATCACTGGCTCTCTACAAAAAGTAAAAAAAAAATTCTAAATTACATCATAACTAAAACACGTATTCAAAAGTAAACATTTCTGAACAAAACAACAATCAAACATGCAACAACTGTTTGATTCAGGGCAACAATTGTAGAGAACATCTTGGAGAACTAACAACCTTCTTGTGCTACCTTTGTAGAATTTAGCCCTCCAAAATTATCTCTCCTTACATTACCCAGAATCGGGTACTTGTATGCATTTCACCTTCGTTTTTTTATCACGAACACTGCTCTTTCATCAGTAGTATCTTGCTACCACCCAACAGAGCTGTCTCTCTCTTAATATAATGTTGTTATTTTTTTACACCAAATGCTTTGATTGTGGAATGATGACTAAATGATGATTGATGAATAACAAACTAAAATATTAAACTAAGATTTAAAAAATTCTGGGAATTTTAACATCTAAAACTTATACTTGTTTAGCATTAATGCTCTGAATATTTCTGAACTATTACCAAACTTAAATCATACGTATAGCAATCAGCCAACAAAAATTGAGATATTTATAATAATATCAGAAGGTCGAAGGAAAACTTAAAATTCATACATTTTTAAAATCTGTCACTTAAAAAGCTATATGATAATGTATATATCGAAAGTATGTAGCTTTTTTATTATTGCATTTTACATGTCTTGCTATTTTAGAATTCATATTTTAATTCTATTAAGAGTCCTTGATGACACGCTCCTCCTGGAGTTTTCTACTTAACGTGAGGTACGTTGAAACATCATCGCTTTGCTTTTCTCTTTCTTTAGCTACGTGTAAAAGATCAATTAGTCCAAATACACCAATAACTGAGAAGAGAAAAAAAAAGTATATTATAGCACTGGTAACCAAGTCACTTTAATTAGCAATTTTGATAGTTACCATCTTCTTTATCAATCATTCTACAAGTAAAGGGATCTTAAAAAATTCTCCTACCTAACTCTGTGTCAAGCTAAAATAAAGTGTGTGTATGTGAGCACGCATGTGCATGATCCCTTGAAGTAGTTTTGGATTGTAAAAAAAAAAAATATTTTTTATTCTTTCACTACCTTTGTATTGGATCTCTCAACAGTGATCGCCTTACTGGCCCATGTTGATCTGACTAATTTTATAAGCTGCACTATTTCCTATAGATAATTTTCCAGATGGTTCTGCTATGATTAGTGTCTAGCAAAAAGCTTCGGCATATATTTCCTTTGCAACATCTAAACCAACAATTGGTCCAGTTATCAACGCTATTTTCAAGTTTTGAACATCTCGACCTTCAAGATCTACATATCTACATGTGCTGATGTTTCCGTTTATCAACGTTATATTTTATGATCTGTGCAAGAACTTAGTTAACAGATGTTTCCACACATAAAAGCTATCTTCAAGTTTTGTACACCAAAAGAGGTTTTGTAGAAGCTACCTTATGTTGTGCGACAGGGATGAAAATAGCGTTCTCTAAAAAAGCTTGAAAACTAACTATTCATTAGCTTTATCGATGTAGTACAACTAAAATCATAGTCAAACATGATTCAGTATAAAAGTCCTGTTAGGTTGAGTTGGTAACACTGGATCTAATCTTATTTATGGAGTCACATTTTTATATTTTGAAATAAGTAGCAGCAACACTAACAAAAAATTAAAACCAAAAAGTACAGTAATGCAAGCCAACAATCTCCACTTGTATAAGATAAACAATATTGACACTTTACATTAAAACTACCTGATGAAACCTGAACAATAAAGTGTACCTGGTTAATCCTCTACGAACCGAAGAAGCAAATTTCATTTTCTATCTTCTCATAGTGGAAATACTTATCCAAACTATATGAAACTTACTACAAACTTGATAAACAGTATCTAGTTTGGGCATTAAAAAAATTATTGCAATTTAATTTAGTTTTATTATTATTTTACTTAAGTTATGAAATTTTAAAATTTTATTACGAAACACTGTTTTAAAAAAAATATTAAACATACTTCCTTTACATTTGAAATTTCAATTGCTTTTCAAAGTTGATTACATAAAGTTCCAATTTATATACCCAATCAGTTTCCACTTGATTTATATTGATAAACATATTTCTTTTGATACATTATTTTGCTAATTGCAGTAGTAACTACTTCCATCTATAACTCATAAAAACACTGTAGAAATTGACAAAGATTTATCAGTGACCTAGGACATTACCCTCCAGACTAGCATCAAGGTAAAAGCATTTTTGCTGACAATATTCTTGGTTAAAATCATTTTATATTTAATAATATAATTTCTTTTCAATAAAGTACAATGATTTGAGATACATTTGAGTCATCAGATATTTTGCTGTAACCTATTGCACTCTTTAAACTTAATTAGGCTTACCTCATATCTTGTTATACAAGAAAATTTCCATAGCTTTCAAACAAATTTAAATGAACTCGCAAACATTTTCAGAAACAAAAAGAACATTTAAAGAAACTATAAAACATCTTCCCAGAAATGTGGTTTGTTCTAAACTTCCCAACAGATTCCACTGTTTTTCTCTGCAAGAACTAGTAAGGGCTTGTCATTTTCCCACTCAAACAAATTACTTCTCAAAGCACTATATTCACTATAGATTGATGTAAATTGTTTATAATCTGCTCTATCCAGTGGTATCTAAACCTTTTATGTAGTTATTTTCAAAGTTGAACTTCATTATAGTTGTCCAAGTCACATGCTATTAAGTTATAAAAGGGTGGAACTAAGAGGCTGTACCAATAAAATCAGAAAAAGAATGAGTGAGGAACAAAATCTTAAAGAATTACATTCTCAAGAGATATTATTTTCTTAGCAAACATAAACCTACACTTCGTAATTGGCAGAAAAATTCTAAACATCTTGTTAAATGTGCGGAAAAATGTAAATTTGAAAATTTTTCATTTTTCTATGGAATTTACACTAAATTGTAATTTGTACATGCCAAAAATATTGATTTTCAAGTATTTTTGAATAAAAAAATTGTTAAAATGAAATTATTATTTCTATTTTTACTCGAATTTTGATGTGTAGGTGTGCAATCTAAATCTGAAAGGTGCTCTATGGTCCAGATAGTGTTAAAGATGTACATTATGAAAGTTACACTATCAATACTTTCAAAAACTAACTCACCAGGTACAAGTTCCATTACTATCATGATAGGCTGCTTCTGTACACATATTCCAATAAATTTCACAATATTTGGATGGTTATATTGTTTTAGAATGCGACCCTCTAGCAAAAACTTTTTCTTTTGTTCCTCAGGAAGGTTTACACGGCACGTCTTTATTGCCACATTGAAATTTATTTGTAATAATTGTGAACTTAATCATAAACTCTCAGTGGGTTATTTAGACAGCCCGTTTATCCAATTAATATCTCATAACTTGACTGTTTTAATAAATAAGTTTTATACTTTTGATTCAATTTTGATAGGGAAATTTTGGTGATGTTTACAAAGGAAAATTAAGATTAACAGGACAAGAAAAATTAAAATTAGTTATCCATGAAGCAGATTTATGCTTCAATTCATTTGTTTGTTATTGAAAAATGTAGATTACACTATATTCAGCTGGTTTTCAGAATTATCCTAAATATTATGACAAATATCCAGTGTTTCAACTGGCCCACATACATATGTAGCTAGTTTATTGTTAGAATTTGTTGCAGCTAAATTCAAAATTTATATGCCTCTAACTTAATTAAATAAGGGAAATTAACTTTTATTTTTCGTTTATAATTCCATTTTACTACATATGTTAATTACATTTTAAACCATAAAAAAACAGATTATATAAAAAAAAATGTTTTAAATATTTTTGCCAGAGTACAGCATAACGAAATTTATTTGTAATAATTCTTAACTTAATTTTACTTTTCGTTTATAATTCCATTTTACTACATATGTTACTTACATTTTAGACCATGAAAAAACAGATTATAAAAAAAAATTAGTTTTAAATATCTTTGCCATAGTACGGCATAAAGTCTACAGCACATCCTGACAGCTTAGGCTTAAACATTCAGTTATAAATCATTCTTGAAGAAAAAAAATGTTTATTAAATATATTAATACAAGTAGGCCACTGAAAAGAAAGATTTGTGAGTATGCTGTTCACTAATTTCAACAAATAATTCCAATTTAAAACGTATTTATTATAAAATAAACAGTATAGTATCTATGGTTACAGCACTTCACTAGGTTAACTACTGATTTTAGAACATATGTAAAAATTTCATACAATATGTTTTAAGAAAATGTTATTAGAATAAAAATTATAATAACCTAGTAAAAATTAACATAATTGTCACTAACCCTTCCAATCTTTTCTATTAAATCAATGTCATCATTATTTAACTCCCATCTTTCTCGAGAAACAGGAGTTTTTAGAATTGCTCCTGATTTTGCTGTAACAGGTAGACCCGAGTGATGTTGGTATTGTATCAGCTCACGAATAGTAGCAAAAACTGGACCTTCAAACCTATATCCTCCCTAAGTTAGTAACAAAATCAACAGACTCTGCAACACAACTTACTAATCACTTTTATAAATTACTTGATATGCAAGTGAAGCTCAGTAGTTTTTGGTGTTATCAGTGCTTCAATTCTACTTAAAAGCTTTAGATAGCTGAAACATTCAAATAATGTCTTATTGATCTATAACATTAAAATTATATAAACACTATTAAAAGTAAAGAAATTGGAAATTTTAGTGAACACACTGGGCCATACAATACTTTCTTTCAATATGGCTTGTGTTAAAATTGATCCTTCATTCAATTATATTTTTAAAATACCTTTCACAAGTTGCTTCAACCAACAAATAACTATACGAGAATTTAAAACTACATTTCAGAAAACTTGGTTTATAAAGTTTTATTTATGAAATTCACATTCTTACAGTGGATAAATAATGACAAAATTAAAAGATAAAATGATATTGAACTTTTGCATGGTATTAAAATATATATAGAAATGTAATTGTACATAAAGAAATTTTAGTTCATTTTCTAGCCACATTAATTATAAAAATAATTTAAGCAAACAAAAATGTATAGTCAGTATTGACTCAGTTATCACTTAATATCATTATTAATGTATTTCAAATTTTGTATTTATGAAATAGGTTTTTTAAACAAAATTCCAGAGTCAATCCATTATGAATATTAGGTCAGATATATGAAAAAGAAAATATATACAATTTTAAGTTACAAAGGGTAATTTTACTCAACAATAAATACAGGAATAACATACCTCAACAGTTGTCTGTATAATAAAATGCTTGTGACCTTGCCAACAAATTGACAGAACTATTTGTCTCTCTTCATTCCTTGTAGTCTCCCTTACCAAAAAGTCTCCATCATTCCTGAGTAACCGGACAACTTCTTCACGAGGTAAGACTCCATGAAACCAATCTTCATCCTGCAGGCTTCTATACCCAGGATTCTCCCTGGCCTGAAAATAATAGTTAAAAAAAGACAATTTTATATGTTGGAATACTGGAATAATTAATGATGTAAATCCTAATCTGTACAAAAAAAAAAAAAAAAGTGAAAAATTATAAAGTCAAAATGTCAAATTTTAAACAGATGTTGGTTTAGCTGAAAACTGGATTCTAACGAATTCTAAGATTAATCCTTAACCATTAGGATGATTTGTGATGGGGGTTCATACAAATCCAAAAAAATAATAACATTATATTACTATGTTAAAGAATAAAAAACATTATTATTAAAATATGCAAAAATTAGTAATTATGCGACTAAAATAATACAGGCCAACCATTATAATAATTAAGGGTGAAGTAGTGTCTATATCAGTCCTATTGAACTCCCAGGTTAAACAACCTTGTCTCTGAGTAATGAGGGAAGCTAAAAGGAGCTCTGATGAACCATAAGATTAATCATTTCCAGCCCAGTATCTTGGGTTATATTAAAAGGGCAAAATAATATCAAAAAGTTGGAAACATTATGTGTGATCTTTACTCTTAAATTACCTCCAAAATAAAATTATAACCAAAATGCTGAGATTTTATAATTTCCTTTGGATGTAAACTTTATTGAAGAAGTAATTAAAAAAAAAGAATGAGAACTGTTAACCCTATTTTTTTTCTTCATGTTGTAATTATTATTGAGATGGAAGAAATAATTCAAATTCCTGCCTGTGTAGATGCAACTTGTCAGTGGACAAAACTAAGCAGTAAATCTAGTAACTCTTCATTTGTTTGAGGCTTATTTTTAGATCAAATAGCTTTAAAACAGTGAATGTTGTCCATTAGTTGTTTGTTTGTTGAATTTCACTCAAAGCTACTATCTCTACCATACCTTTAACTTAGAATAGTCAACTATTCAAAAGCGCTCGAGTTTTGGGTCTCATTTTGAAAATATTACAACTTTTGTAGGTGATCCTTTGTGCTAACTACTTAACCTGGATTCCTAACTTAGAGATGGACTAGAGGAATTCAGTTAGTCAACACCATTTACTTTTGGGCTACTCTTTACCAATTTAAAATGGGACTGACCATCAGATTATAACTTCCCCACAGCTAAAATGGCAAGAATGTTCAATGATGATGGGGTTCAAACTCATGTCATGCAAATTGGAAGTCAAGCATTAACCACCAGGTCATTTCATGTCCTTTGCAGTTGGTGATGTCAATAATTATAAAATATCTGCATATTTTTCTTATATTTTCAAAGCTTATGAAGCTAACAAAATCGTAAATACATCATCTGTAATCTATTTTCTTTCTTGCAACCTATTTGCCATATAGCTGTCTTCCTTCCTTGCATAGTTACATTAGTTTGAAATCATTTAAAATTTCTTATGATGTATCCAGGTGCCTCAAAGCTAATCAGGCCTTTTATCTTGTAAAATACTAATGATGTAACCCATAATAAATTAACTGAAGGAGCTTCCCTCCATGTTTGTTTATTTTACTAAAGTAATGTCTCAGCAGTTAACTTTCTGTTTACGAGAACTCACAAGTTTTATAACTTGGTCATCATCAAGCTGACCAGTACTAGAATCATACATTACATTTTTTTAAATACATTCACATATATTAATAGGAGAACACAAACAAATTTTATATATAAAATAAAGTGAGATGAATATTATCTATTTACATTAGTTTTAATACTTAAGACAATTTTATTTGCACCATTTCTTTCAATATATGATACCATTACACCTACTATGGTATACATATATTAATAAGGAGAACACAGTCAAGTGTTATATATATATATATATATATATAAAATAAAGTGAGATAAATATTATCTATTTATATTAGTTTTAATACACAAGATGATTTTTATTTCACCATTTCTTTCAACATACAATACCATTACGCCTACTATGGTATACATATGAAAACTGACTTTTAAGTCAATGGTTATGTGGGAAATGCACAATGGTGTAGTTAGTAGTTATATTATGTAGTGATCTGATTTTATTATAAATGAAATTCACAAAAATAAAATTCAAATATATATTTTAGAAGATTCCACAGATCTTGTGCTATGTGTTTGAAGTGCCCGTGTTTCAAATATGGTCATTTTTATGAGTTATTAATAATGCCAAAGGTGGCATTATATCTGCCAATGGTCTTTAAAGGCTGAAGTAACTTTGCCTGTGATCATGTAGAGTAGCTATACAAGTTGTAATCAACCCCGAGATTAAGTAACTGTTGGTGAGTGTTGGTGAGGAAAGTGGTTGTGCGAGTTCTGATGAACTCCAAGATTAAATAGCTTTGTCTGTGATAAGGAAAGTGGTTATATACGTCGTAATGAGCACCAAGATTAAATAGCTTTGTCTGTGATAAGGAAAGTGGTTATATACGTCGTAATGAGCACCAAGATTAAATAGCTTTGTCTGTGATAAGGAAAGTGGTTATATACGTCGTAATGAACTCCAAGATTAAATAGCTTTGTCTGTGATAAGGAAAGTGGTTATATACGTCGTAATGAACACCAAGATTAAATAACTTTGTCTGTGATAAGGAAAGTGGTTATATACGTCGTAATGAGCACCAAGATTAAATAGCTTTGTCTGTGATAAGGAAAGTGGTTATTTACGTCGTAATGAGCACCAAGATTAAATAGCTTTGTCTGTGATAAGGAGTGGTTATGTACGTCATAATGAACACCAAGATTAAATAGCTTTGTCTGTGATAAGGAGTGGTTATATACGTTGTAATGAACACCAAGAT